GTGCAGTTGTTGTGGTCGAAAATGCGTTCATTGATTGTCAGAGAAGAATGGGCAGATTTTGTCTGAGATTGGTAGAAAGGGAACAGTAACTCAAATAACCCCTCGCTAAACCAAGGTAGGCAGAATACTATCTCTGAATGCACAACACATCGAACCTTGAAGCAGATGGGCTACAGCAGCAGAAGACCACACTGAGTGCCACTCTCTGTCAGCTAAAGAACAGGAAATGGAGGCTACAATTCGCACAGATCACCCAAAATTGGACAATAGAATGGAAAAAAACGTTGCCTGGTTTGATGAGTCTCGATTCCCCTAGAGATGGTTGTGTGTGCAAATCCCAGTAGATAACCAGTTGTTGAAATACTCAGACCAGCCTGTCTGGCACCAACAACCATGCCATGTTCAAAGTCACTTAAATCTTCTTTCTTCCCCATTCTGATGCTTGGATTGAACTTCCACAAGTCATCTTCACCACATCTAGATGCCTAAAATGCATTACGTTTGCTGCCATGTGGTTGGCTGGTTAGCCAAGTAACTGATCAGGTGAATCTAATAAAGGGGCTGGTGACTGTGTATATATATAGTTATAATATATATATATTATACTCTATAGACCTCATACATAGATCTTAGATCGCAAATCCTCCACAGCTGTAGAAGGGAACCAACAAACTGCTAGCAACTGCTAAAACCATCTCGACCAGGGGTCTCGAAACGTACTAAACAAAGGGCCAGTTTACTGTCTTTCAGACATTAGGATGGCCAAACTGTGGCTAAGGGGAATAGAAAATGCCTCTTCTTTTGGTATATATGGGAGGAATCGTGCCCCACATCATTGGTAGTCAGTGGGAGGAATGGGGTTCCTATAATTGGTATCAGGTGGGAGAAATAGGGCCCCATCATTGGTGTCAGTGGTTAGGAAAGGAATAGTGCCCCATTGTTGGTAGTCAATGAGAGGAATGGGGTCCCATCATTGGTATCAGTGGGAGAAATAGGGCCCCATCATTGGTTTGTCAGTGGGAGGAATGGGGTCCCATCATTGGTATCAGAAGTGGGGAGGAATAGTGAGCCCATTGTTTGGTGTCAGTGGGAGGAATAGTGCCTCATCATTGGTGTCAGTGGGAGGATATAGTGCCCCATCATTGGTATCAAGTGGGAGGAATGGAGGTCCCATCATTGGTATCAGTGGGAGGAATAGTGCCCATCATTGGTGTTAGTGGGAGGAATAGTGCCCCATCATTGGTATCAGTGGGAGGGAATAGTGTGCCCCATCATTGGTGTCAGTGGGAGGGAATAGTGCCCCATCATTAATATCAGTAGGAGGAATAGTGCCCCATCATTGGTATCAATGGGAGGAAATAGTGCCCCATCATTGGTGTCAGTGGGAGGAAATAGTGCCCCATCATTGGTATCAGTCTGTGTGGGAGGAATAGTGCCCATCATTGGTATCAGTGGGAGGAATAGTGCCCCATCATTGGTATCAGTGGGAGGGAATAGTGCCCCCATCATTGGTATCAGTGTAAGGAATAGTGCCCCATCATTAATATCAGTAGGAGGAATAGTGCCCCATCATTGGTATCAATGGGAGGAATAGTGCCCCATCATTGGTGTCAGTGGGAGGAATAGTGCCCCACCAATCATTGGTGTCAGTGGAGGAATAGTGCCCATCATTGGTATCAATGGGAGGAATAGTGCCCCATCATTGGTATCAGTGGGAGGAATAGTGCCCCCATCATTGGTATCAGTGGGAGGAATAGTGCCCCATCATTGGTATCAGTGGGAGGAATAGTGCCCCATCATTGGTATCAGTGTAAGGAATAGTGGCCCCATCATTGGTGTCAGTGGGGAGGAATAGTGCCCCATCATTGGTATCAATTGGAGGAATGGGGTCCCATCATTGGTATCAGTGGAGGAATAGTGCCCCATCATTGGTGTCAGTGGTCAGCAAAACTACTGCCACATCATTCCTATCAATGGCAGAAACTGTGCCCTATCATTCTCATCGCTGGTATCAGTGGGAAAAATAATGCCCTGTTGTTGGAGTAAGTGGATGGAATGGTGCCCCAAGGGCCAGAAAAAGGCAAGCAAAGGGCCACCTGCCCCCCAGGATACAGTTTGGAGACCCCTGATCTAGACATATGGAGTATCACCTCACATATAGGGGCTTTCATTATCACCTGAATTATCATCACATAGGGTGGGAATCAGCGCGCCTCTATAAATACCTCCCTGGGGTCCCTCCTCGCCAATGGCACCAGAAATCCCACCAGAAATGCATGCCCCCTATCCCCCACCACCCAGGAAAGGCTACCCCCTCCCACATCCAGCATGACCAGCTGAAGATCGGGTGCGTCATTCCTGTTTTGTAATCCTTGCTCGTATAAATCCAGTACCATCAAACTGTATGAATACTTGTGTGTATGTATAAATGGTCACTATCTCTGGTCTCCCAGCTACATTAAATAGTCTCTTTTACCTGCTGTTCCCCCACTGGAATTCGATATTTATTGGGGTGGAGCCCCCAGGACATGATATTGGGGTTCATTCTTAAATTCATTCGTCTATCAGGCAAGCTAAGGGGCAGACATAGACACAATTCTTCAGATTGTCGCTCTAGGCTGAATATTTGCTTCTCTCCCATTGAAAGGAAAGAGGTGAAAAAAAGAGATAAATCAAATCCCATGATTTAAACAGCTATTCATTTCTAAACATGATCCCACCGTCTGATCGGAGCGGAGTTCCTCCTTAAAAAAAAAAACAAAAAATCACAGTTGTGAGTTGTCCTTCTGATGGAATATATATAAAAAAAAGCAGTTTGTGTTTTCGGATGTCGGGATGACAATTCACAGCGGTAGGTGCGATGGAGACATCACCTCCTCCTCGTGGCACGCAGACATAGCACGGCCTCTGGCAGGCGAGGAAAGTTTCGCTCAGTCGGAATCGGAGTCAAAGTCGTCATCTACAAGGTAAAGACAAGGTCACCTTCGGTTTATGTGAATGCGGGATATAAAATATACACTCTGGGGAACCGCTGACTTTGAAGAGGAACATGTGGCTGCCAGCTGGGGCCTCAAAAACATTTCACTGTAACACAAAGGATTGTGTGGAAGAGCCGGCCGCGTCTTTGAAAGGAGAAACATTAACTGCTATGGCTGAAAATCACAGATGCCTGCCTGACATGCTGATCCAATGGCGGCGGAAGTCGATGACCTGGATGAAGCATGCTGGGATGGACTTCTGGCCTTCCTGATCTGCACATTATTATTATTATACAGGATTTATATAGCGCCAACAGTTTGCTCAGCACTTTACAATACAAAGGGAGACAAAACAGCAACAACACAGTTCAATACAAGAGGGCTAGGAGGGCCCTGATCCTTGGAGCTTACAATCTAAGAGGGGAGGGGCTAGTGGTACAAAAGGTAATAACTGTGGGGGATGGACTGGTAGGAGGAATAAAAGATTCCATTATTAGCTGAAGGCAGGATAGACTTCCCAGAAGAGATAGGTTTTCAGAGATCGCCTAAAAAGTGAGCAGAGTAGGCGATAGATTGGGGTAGAGAGTTCCAGAGGATGGGGGAGGCTCCGAACAAGTCCTGGAGACATGCATGGGAGGAGCAGACAAGGGAGCTAGAGAGCAGGAGGTTGTGCGAGGAGCGGAGAGGACGGTTTGGGTGATATTTGGAGACAAGATTGGTGATGTAATTTGGGGAAAAGTTATAAATGGATTTATATGTGACTGTTAATGTTTTTAATTTTATTTGTTGGGCAATGGGAAGCAGTGGAGGGATTGGCAGAGAGGGATTGGAGGACACTGATTGGGAAGCCAGTGGAGGGATTGGCAGAGAGGGATGGAGGACACTGAATGGAGGCCAGTGGAGGGATTGGCAGAGAGGGGTGGAGGACACTGAATGGGAAGCCAGTGGAGGATTGGCAGAGAGGGTGGAGGACACTGAATGGGAAGCCAGTAGTGGAGGGATTGGCAGAGAGGGATGGAGGACACACTGATGGAGGCCAGTGGAGGGATTGGCAGAGAGGGGTGGAGGACACTGAATGGGAAGCCAGTGGAGGGATTGGCAGAGAGGGATGGAGGACACTGAATGGAGGCCAGTGGAGTGATTGGCAGAGAGGGGTGGAGGACACTGAATGGGAAGCCAGTGGAGGGATTGGCAGAGAGGGATGGCAGATATGGAACGGTTAGTAAGGTGGATGAGTGTCTGGCAGCAGCACTCATGATAGACTGAAGAGGGATAGCCTGCGATGAGGTCAGCCAATGAGGAGGGAGTTACAATAGTCAAGGAGAGAGATAATCAGGGAGTGAATAAGTTGCTTATTGGTTTCCGAGGTTAGGAACGGGCGTGTCTTGGGAGATGTTGCGGAGGTGAAGTCTACAAGATTTGGACAGTGATTAGATTTGGGGGTGATAGAACAGATGGGAGTCTAGGATTACACCTAGTACTCTGCACATGCTGGCGGCTCAGTGACTCGGGACAGGACTGAAGATACCATAACAGCCAGGCAACTGTCATTTTCAGGAGAAGGTCAGCAGTGGTGCCCCCTGGCACTCCCATAGTATAATAAGGCTACTTTACATAAAATGAATGCAGCAGAGGAAATCTGATAGACGGGTCACACAGGACAGTTTTCAGTGGATTAAATAAAAATTCTTCATTGAACACTTAGACGTGTGCGATTTGTTTTGCTCCGGATCGAAATTCAGACAAAATTTTTGTTATTCGGAGATTTGGATGGATCTGAATACTAATTATATTAGTAATGAATTTAAACGAATCCGAACTAAAGAAACTAAATTTCAGCCAAATTCGAATCGGATTTGAAATGACTTTGAAAATGAAATCCAAAAACAAATTTGAAATGGAAACATATTATTTATTTATTACAGGTACTTATACAGCACTGTCAATAATATACGCAGCGCTTTTACATATATATATTCACATCAGTCCCTAACCCTCAATGGGTGTATAAGGTCCGTAACTAACATAAATACATACTAGGGCAAATTTAAACAGGATCCAATTAAGCTACCAGCATGTCCTTGGAGTGTGGGAGGAAACCGGAGTACCCAGAGGAAACCCACACAGTCACAGGGAGAACATGTAAACTCCAGGCAGGTGGTGCCGTGGTTGGGATTTGAACCAATGACCTTAGTGCTGCAAGGTGGAAGTGCTAACCATTTAGCCACTGTGCTGCCCAATATTGCTGCCTATTGCTGATTTCCTTCATAGACATTGTGGATGGGGGATTTACTAAAGCTAGTTCACTCAGAATCTGGTGCAGCTGTGCCATGAGGTGCCATGTTGAACTTCCAGTGACCAGTATGAGAGAGTGCGAGCGATCACACCAAATTGAACACACCTGCTCCCCATTCACACCTGAGACCTTGTAATACTAACCAGTCACATGACACCGGGGAGGGAAAATGGCTAATTGGGCCCAATTTGGACCTTGTCACTAAGGGGTGGACTCACTTTTGTTGCCAGCGGTTTAGACATGAATGGCTGTGTGTTGAGTTATTTTGAGGCGACAGCAAATTTACATGTTATACAAGCTGTACACTGACTACATCACATTGTACCAAAGTGTCATTTCTTCAGTGTTGTCACATGAAAAGATAGAATCAAATATTTACACAAATGTGAGATCCTGTATATAGGGAAGTGTTTTTCTTGAGCTTTTCAGGCACTTGTTTTACAGCAAAAACGCTTCAAAAACTCCTCAGTGTGAAGGCACCCTAAAGCGATCATCACTGGACTGTTTTTCAGAGGTGATATGGCACCTCCTCATCACCTGTGTTAAAGAATTCCGGGCAAAAGTATTTTTCTCCCTTGCAGTGGAGCTGTGCCAGCACTGCATGGGTTAACAGCTAATTTTTGTCTAGAGGATTTCAGAGCGGAGATATACTTACCTAATCTGTAAATCCTCCAAGCGCAAGACCGGTCCCCACCGCTCCTGCCCCCCGTGCACGCTAGAATGGACTGTTCCTGACGTCATCGCGCTCATAGACCGGCTCTGCTCGTGAGAGTTGAGGGAGCAGTCCACCGCTGGACGTGGGGGAGCGCAGTTTTCCGAAGGATCAGGTAGATATAGCCTTCCGGTGCGCCCCTAAACAAAACGAGCCATTAACCCATGCAGTGCAGGCACAGGCCCCCACTGCATGGGTGCAAATTAAATATTCAGCTGCTGGTGTTGGGGAGTCCTTACATAATAATCTGACATGAGACACGAGTTAGCGGCCCGGCCTGTACTTTCTACACAATTTCCTGTTTTCTTCTGTGTCATGCGTGCCATAGTTTCATCCTTGCACAGCATCATTTCCTGAATGGATCAGGTCACCCTCGGAGAGCAGAGGCAGGACGTGCAGCTGACTCTGATTACCGGAGAACACTGACAGATCTCCTAGCAGAGGAACACCAACACCCAGAACAATCCAGGAAACAAGATCTCATTTCACTTAAGTCTTCATGCACACGGGATGTTTTTACAGCGGCTGTATTTGGCTTCTTTTGTTTTTTTTTAATCTAAAGCCAGTAAACCCCCCAGCATGTTCTCCCATGTGTCCATTCACACATAGACTAAGCAACGATTTTTGGCTGGAAAAAAAAACACCAGAACTAGCGGGTTTCTAGAGGAGTTCTTTAGCTGTAAAAACTCTCGAACGCTGAAAAAAACGCAGCAAACTGTGTTGTTTTTGGACATTGTGTTTGACCAAATAAAAAAATGTTTTTTTCATATAAAACAAAAAATGCAAACGCAGCTAATCGCATCAAAATGCCAGTAAACGCTAAAATAAGCTGGAAAAACTCACGCTTTTTAACACTTTTCGTGTTTTTGCTGCTATCCAGATCTCCATCACAGAGATTTCCCTCTCTTATATTATTATTATTCCGGAATTAAATGGCCCCAACAGTCTGCACAGCACTTTACAAAATAAAGGGTGACAGTACAGTTACAATACAAATCTATAGGAGAGCTCTGGTAATAAGAGCTTACAATCTAAACCGGGGGTCTCCAAACTGCAGCTCCAGCCCGAGGGCCAGATGTGGCCCTTTGACTACCCTTTCGGCCCTTGGGGCACTATTCCTTCAACTGAGACCAACAATGGGGCAGTATTTCTTCCCATGAAACCAATGGTGGTGTACCATTCTTCCCACTAATACCAATGGCGGGGCACTCCTCCTCCTAGTGACCAACAACCCTGAGGCCATGTTTATGCTCACTGATGCTGGGCCTGGGAAATTTTTCTATCCTCACTGGCCCTAATCCGGCCCTCCCTAAAGTAAAAAAGGGCCCCGTTTATTT